CTCTCCCTGTCCCCACCCTCACCTTCTCCTTTTTGGTACTCTTCCCTGTGAACTATAGTTATCTTGGTCTCTCTGAACTTCCAATTCTATCTCAATTCAGAGAAATTACTGGACTTTGCCTGAATCCCCCCTCCCTCCATATGTTGTAACTTGAAAACTCTTCCAGTAGTAAGTAGAGGCAATTTGTGGGGCTTATCTGATTTTGCTTCTTTCTTTCAGTGATCACTGACTTGTACTCCCTGATGTCCAATATTGGAAAACACATGTTACCTTTATTGTACCCCATTTTTAAGTAGTTTCAGGTAGAGGAGTAAATCTAGTCCCTGTTATTTCATCTTGGTTTCAAGCAGCAGTCTCTGTTACGAGAGTTAAATTTAAAATATGTGTGTGAAAAATGCCCAGTGCAGCCAGGAAATACGTAAACAATATTCATTTACTTCTCCTTATGTTGTGTTTGTGATCTTAAGCCGAGGTCTGTATTTATCCTGGGTATTTTCGCTTCTTTGTTTGAAATAATGCTTTGAATATCACAACTGTGTGTGAATTCCCTATGTCTAGCAATACAGTCTCATCTCAGTGACTAATTTCCCAAAATAATTTATAGAGAAGTACCAAGGTCTTATTTCTGCTTATGAATGACTTTATTTGGGTCCAACTACAATCCGGCTTAATTAATTGATTTGTTAGTAGTTACTCTTGATTTATAAATCATATTTGATCTTTAACCAAGATACATGGCTAATGTAGTGATGAACATCCAAACTGGACCATGTGCTAAATTTTGCTTTCTCTGGTTATCTGTGCTTGGAGAAATCGTAATTGGCCTATTCAGGAAGAGACATTTGTCACCTAGTGGCAAATACACAAATTGCAGGCATAGTTCTAACACAGTTACTAACAGGTTCTACTACAGTAGTTCCCAAGCTAAAGTACGTAGGTGACAAGGGTCCTTGAGTGCAGAGATGACAATTCTTAATCTATTACCTTTATTTTATACATACACACACAAAAACCCAGAAAATTCACATTTATCAACAATAAACTACACAGAATAACTAAAGTGTCATTTATCATTATTTCTATGGGCTGGAATTATAAAACAAAAATAATGGCTACTAGTTAGTAAGAAAATATTATTTTTTAATATTCACTTCTAAGCCTGGAAAAAACTGCAAGGAAAGCATTGTTATCTACTCTTTTCAAGTGAGAAAAGTGAGTCACTGTTCTCAGCACAATGTGAAAACACTGGTTGTGATGAACCAGTAAGAAAATGTTTGGCAGTTACAATTTTACTTGATGTTAAGATTATGAGAATGAATGAATTATCACTTATTATAGATGTTTCTCTACCACAGTAGAGTTTGTTAATGTGATACAGTAAACTAGATCATTTTGGGATCAGACAGATGTGGATTCAAATCTCGGCTCAGCCACTAATTAGTTTTGTGATCTTGGGAATATTACTTCACTTATCTGAATGAGCCTCAGTTTGTTTGTTTGTTTTTTGAGCCAGAGTCTCATTCTTATCGCCCAGGCTGGTGTATAATGGCACGATCTCAGGTCACTGCAACCTCTGCCTCCTGGGTTCAAGTGATTATCCTTCCTCAGCCTCCCGTATAGCTGGGATTACAGGTGCCTGCCACTGTGCCCGGCTAATTTTTTTTTATTTTTAGTAGAGACGGGGTTTCACCATGTTGGCCAGCCTGGTCTCGAACTCCTGACCTTTGGTAATCTGCCCACCTAGGCCTCCCAAAGTGCTAGGATTACAGGTGTGAGCCCCTGAGCCTGGTCCCAGTTTTTTACCAATAAATAATAATAAGATCTGGCATCATCTCAGCACTTACTGTGTGCCAGCCACCACTGTAAGGTGAGGTGAAGGCTACTATTACTCCCATTTCACAGATGAGGAAAATGAGGCTTAGAGAGGTCACTTGCCCTAAATCACATGGATAATCAATAGGGAACCAGGATTGGAAGCATGGCTCACAACAGTATCACATAAAAATAGACAAAATGACACCTATCTTAAAAAGTAGTCAGTAAAAATTAAATGTCATAATATATTGTTTCTGACACATAGTGGGTCATTAATAAGTGATATTCCCCATTTTCTCAATGCAATCTCTTAAGGAGTCCGTGCAGAGAGACCTGATAATTTTAAAAATATAGTTTTTACTGGTGAAAATACTTGAGATCCATGGGCAAATTCAAATTCAGAAAATGAAGGAAACTTTTAAGATACCTTAGGAATAATATTACTTTATGTGGGTTCCTTGCCTGAGGCTTTACATGGGTATTCTAAGATAATCTTTGCAGCAATTATGAGAGGCAGGCACCGTCATCAGCACCATTCCTACTGAGAATTGTGCAGGACATGTCTGCCTCATTCAGGTTCATCTAGTAAGGGCTGGGAAATGGAGGCAGTCTTTAAATCCAGGCAGTCTGAGTCCAGAGTTCTGGCTCTAACCACTAAGCCATTAAGGCTCATCACAGCTCTTAATATGCCTTATTTTTAACTATTTCTTTTTTTTTTTTTTTTTTTTTTGCATTTCTGACTGAAGCCAGCTGTGGGCTTGCTGCCGGAATTGTCATAATTATTCAAGAAGATGCTACCCCACTCATGGGTGCAGCATCCTATTTAAAGGTAATATCACAAGTTCAAGACAGGTTATGCAAATATTTCCACAGCACCTCCATTGTGTGATTACCCTCCTGCCACAGCCTGATTTCAAATTCCTGTTCACGAAAGCTAATTTGGAGCCAAGGAGGGTCGGATGCACAAAATCCTGGAAATCATATGAGAAATTCCTTTTCCTCACAGGTTTATAGCAATTAAATCCTTGATAAGGAATTGCTCATCAATTCCACAGGAGGTGGAAGTGATTGCCTCTGCAGGTAGCAATCATTTTGTGCAATTGCCACAATTATCAATCCCCTTCAGGATGATTGGAATTTAGAAATAGGAACCAGAAGAGTGTTAGGTTTTTCAAGACATGGGGTAATATTAGAAACCTGCCAATGAGAAATCATGTCTTTCTCCTCATGAAAGTTTCTTAGCAAGTGAACAGTGGTTAGAAAATACATCCACATTTCTGAGTCTCTTCCCTTAAAGAGTTTAATGCATTGTATATACCGAAAAGGCTTAATGGATTTCGAAATCTACAATGAGTTTTATCTTTTCACTATTCCCATTAATTTATATGCTGACACGTGTACGTCTCTGACATGTGTTAAAGTCTACGTAATTTTTAATGCTGGCGATGGTATTGGAAGTATACACTTCCCATCCCACTCTGGAAAGGTAATTTCACAACATGCATAAAAAGCCTTAAAATGTTTAAACTCTTTGTCCTCGTCATTTCTCTTTTGGAAATCTATCCTAAGAAAAAATTCAGACATTAAAAAAAAAAAGATTTAAGTACTCAGTGTTATTTCCAATAGGAAAATATTAGAAAACACTTTAAAGCTCAATAACAGGAGAATAGTTAAATAAATTATGGTTCATTAAATGATGGTGCATTATGCAGCTATTAAAAGTTATGTTTTTGAAGAGTAGTTAATGACACATGGAAAATGTTCATTATAGAATGTCAAGTGGAAAAAATAAACACAATCATAGTTGAATAATAAGTGTAATGTAATTTATTAATTATCCATTATGTAACTCTGAAATGTAGGTGTTTTTATTCCCGTATTGCAGAAAAGGAAACAAAGGCTCAGAGAATTTAGATGAGAGATAGAGACCAAGAGAAAGAAAAAAATGCTCGATGGAAAGACACAAAATGTATTGGTGGTTACCATGGAGAAGTGGGAACCAGATACAATCGTGTTCTTTATGCATGGTGGTAGTCTCCACCGTAAGTATGCATTACCGTTGGAATCAGAAAAGAATAAATATCATTAAAATAGTCTGTGCACCTAAGGCACGGATGGCTTTGGAAAAGAACTGTTTTTTTTGAGCTGGGCTGCATGAAGCAGGATTTACTACCCCAGTTCTAGCCTTCAAACAAGCAAACTTCAGCACAATCTTGCTTGGCTCTTCTGGCCTCTGGGTAGAGGTAGTTCAGACACAGATATGCCCGACCTGAATCAGGGCTGGCAGTCTCTGTACAGCTGTCTCCTCTCACTGCATTTAATTTCCTGTTGCAAAACAAAGCATCTGGTAAATTCAACCACACTCAGAGTTTTGGCACTAATTGCAGCATTTCTTAAAAGCATGGTCCAGGAACCCCCAACATTGGAATCACCTGGGTTCCTTCTTAATAACATCAATTCTTAGGCCTTTCAGACCTCCTGAAACAAGATGAGGATGGGAAGTCTGCATCTGGAACAAGAGCTCCGGGTGATTCTTGTGTACACTAATGTTAGACAATCACTGCTCCAGGGGACTCTACCACTAAAAGAAAGAAAAGAAAGAAGCCAATGCTTAACCCAGTGAGAAGTTCTATAGGGCAGATATCTGGGGGCAGAAAACGCTTCTAATCACATCAGGTCAGCAACTTCCTACTAATATCCTAACTCTGTTCCTCGCCATTTGGGATGACCTTTACTTTGGGAAATTACTCTCACTCTCTGAGTTTCATTGTTCTTATCTCTGAAATGGGAGTAATAATAATAGTAATATAATAAGTATTATTATGGCTGGATCTACCCTATAGAACAAAAGCCAAAGTTACTCTTGCCTGAAATGTAAGTGTGCAGTGATCAATGAGTCCTCAAGTCAGACTTATACATATATACACACACACACATACACACACACACATATATATATGGTTGTTGTTGCTGTTGTTGTTTTGAGACAGGATGTTGTTCTGTTACCCAGCAGGGAGTGCAGTGGTGCAATCATAGCTCACTGCAGCATCAACCTTCCAGTCTCAAGTGATCCTCCTGCTTTAGCCTCCCAAGTAGCTGGGACTACAGACACACACCACCATGCCCAGCTAATTTTTTATTAATACAATTTTCAATAGAGACAGGGTCTTACTATGTTGCCCAGGCTGGTCTCAAACTCCTGGCCTTAAGGGTTCCTCCCATCTCAGCCTCCCAAAGTGCTAGGATTATAGCACCATGCCCAGTGTCTCAAGCCAGATCTTTAAGATGGTGTGCAGATCCTCTATGACCCACTCTCTCTTTTCCCAGAAGCTCTCTGACACCATCTTCTACTCCCCTTTCTCTCACTTCATTCAGGGACTCCATCCTCTTCGTTTTTCTTAAACATGCCAGGCATACTCTCAACATAAGGCACTTGAATTGACTGCTCCCTCTGCCTGGATATCCGCATGTCTAACTCCATCACCTCTTTTGCTCAAGTTATCTTTTCCATGCCACCATCCTCTTCGAAATTTCAACCCCTTCCTCATGATCATACTCCTAGTCTTCCTCCCCTGCTTTTCTTCATTTTCTATTGCACTTTCGCCTGCTAATATGCTATATAATTACCTCTGTATCATCCTTATTGTTGCTGTCCCCACATCCCACACATCTCTGTTGGGATGGAAACCACACAAATCTAGGAGTTGTTGTCTTTTTGTTGTTGTTCTCTGATGTCCCCAGGCCCCTTGAACTGTGCCTGGCATGTGGCACATACTCAGGATATAGTTGTCAAATAAATGCCCAGGTGAAGGAATGAAAAAAGAACTTGAAAAATCTCCTCCACTCCCTCATTTACCAGGGAAGTTGATAGTTACTTAAGGCAGAATGACTTGAATGTTCAGGGATTTACTTATTTGCCTCTTGTTTTATCTGGGGTTGGGCTAATTCCTCAGAAATCCCTATTAATCTCCCCTATTCTTCTTGTCAAAAAAGGCTTTGCATCTCTGAGAGGGACCTAGATATAGGTACAGATGACAGAGATAGGTACAGACATAGGTACAGATGACTGTTCAACGGCGGGCCAATGGGCAACGATTTTGCCACGAATATTGTTTATGAAAAACAACAACAATCAAATGGCTCAGAAAAAGATGGGTCAACACCTCCCTTCCCAAAGACATGGGGGGAGAAAGCGTTCTGCAACCTACCCAGACCCAGGAGGCCATGATTTGTTCTGTTAAGACAAGCTTTAACAATCACAGTCGTCTCACCCAAGAAGCCTCTTGACCTCATGAGGTTAATAAAATTTCCCAAGTAAGTAAAACCATTTCTGACTCTCTGCCCTTTCCAGGTCCCCCTGAAGGACTCTCAGAAAACAGAACTACTGACTTAGAAATAAAAATGTGAATAAAGGGGAAGTATTGTAGACTGTGAAACACTCCACATCTCAGCAGTGGGTGTTGTTGGCATTTTAATGACTGCTATTGCTATTATTTGTCCTCACCAATACACTTGAAGATCTCAGTAACTGTTGCTACTTCTTTGCTCCGAAGACCTTCCAATTTGCTCCAAATTGGACTGAATGATATGATTAGCCCACATCAGCCACTTGTTAATCCAGATAAAAGACCAGCTTTCTTTCTCCATTACCCCAGGTCTCCGTGGAGGTGATCAATAAGAATATACGAAGCCCCCAGAAGGGCACCATTCCCAGGAGACAGGACCAGAGGGCAGAGTCACAAAAAGTTTCTTTGCACTGCTTGGACTTCTTTATGCCAGACCCACTTGACTTTAATGATTGTTTTTGTCATTCTGCACAGCAAGGTGCAATCTATCTTTTCTGATATTTCAGAACAGGGTGCTCCCCTCTCATGCTTGGGTCTTTTTCAGATAACCACACTGGAATTCTTTAGCAATCACTTGCAGTGAGACGAACTGGAAAGCAGAAAGAGGAAAAAATGGATGACCCATGGAGTATTCAAACCACACCGAGCAGCCTTTCTCCAATTCCTGGCACGTAGTCACAGATAAGAGGGAGCTGAAAGAATCACATCTCCTTTGGAGCCCGAGGCTGTTATCTACAAAGATAGGGCAGTGGGATGGAAGTGGGGTCCCAACTGAGGAAGACCTTAGATCAAGGTTCTGATACTTTTCATCAACGTGAACTTGAGTAATTCGTTTAACCTTTCTGTGACTCAGTTTCTTGAATCACAGACGAGAACAATAATATTTCTTATAGAGATGATGTGAGTACTAGAGGTAATTGCTTAAAGATGTTGATACATAATGAGTACAGAATACATTATTATTGCATGGAGCAATGCCCAATTGAAATCCTCTGAGGGCTGGTGGTTCATTTGTTGTGAACAGAACTCCTCTGTTTCTTAGTCCTTTATATTACTGGTTATTTTTCTCCCTTAGGCAAAGATCTCCGGTGATGGTGATGATTTCCATAATCTTGTCACCTTAATTGCTGCTGTCACTGTAAGTATTGAAATTAATTTTGATTTCTTTTTGTTTCTGCTTAGCACTTCGAATGTGACTAATGGGATTATTTTTGGCTTTGGCTTGGAGCAGTTTTCCCAGGAGCTTGAGTGATGCTGGCCCGCGTTTTCCAAGTGAGGCCAACTTTCTTTACAGGGACCGTATGGGTTTTGGAAATCTCCGAAAAGAGAATCAGTTAGCTGTGGTCATTTCGGTTAAATGACACATAAATGGTGTATGCTTTCTGCTTGTAAATTCTCTCTTGTATATCTTAATGAAACCTTACGTGTTGAGCTTACTGCAACTTGGGTATTGCAATATAATGCTTTATGTGGATTATGCAACTTCTCATCAAAACTCCAAGGGCTAAAGGTCAAGGTCTTCGCTTTACAAATCAGGAAACTAACTAGTAAATAGCAAGACCAGGATTCAAACGTGAGCATGTTGCACTCTAAAGCCAATGCTCATTTTGACAAAGTAGGCTGCTTCTGCAAATTTGCTCTGATGATTTTTAATATCTACTTTGAGGGTATTTGATTAAGGTATATATGCCACCTGAAGGGGAGGCTTCCTTCTTTTTGATAATTTATATTGTGCTTGGCTTTCAAGGTTTATTCTCACTTATCTTCCCTGTTTATTCTATCGTGGGCTCTTTCCAACATGTAAAGCTACATCCCTTATTCCACTCTTGCCCCTCTGCAATTCATTATCCCCGTAGCAGCTTCACTGTGAACATCTGGAAAACAGAAATCTCATTATATTACACCCACGCCTTAACATCTTCAATGACTTTCCATTTCTTTTAGGAGGAATCTGTAGTGGATTAAATATAGTTACAATTTTTTTTGTCACTCTTTCCATCAAGAATGCTGGCCCTGTGACTTATTTCGATCAGTATAATGTAGCCCAAAAAAAGTGGTAGTGGCCCATCTAAAGCTGAGCCTTAAGAGACCTGCAGCTCTCAGTTTTGCTTCTTTGGAATGTTCCTTCTTAGAACCCAGCTGCCATGCTGGGAGGAAGCCCAAGCTAGCCGTGTCTTAAACATTCCAACTCCATCCAATATCCAGGTGAATGCATCAGCATGACAGAGCCCAGGGAATGCTAACAAAAGAACCACCTAAGCAATTCATAGAATCATGAAAAAAATAATAAATTATTATTGTTTTAAGCCCTTAAGTTTTGGTGTGATCTGTTACTCAGCAATAGAAAACCAAAACCAAATCCAAAAGCTTATCATGGCCTTCAAGACCCTGCATAATCTGGGCACCGGTTGATTCGCTTTACTAGTATCAAGCCATTTTCCATATTACTCACTATGCTCCCGGCAAACTGGGCTTCTTAGAGATTCTTAAACACATCAACCTTTTCTTGATTCAAGACTTTTGCTTTATCATTCCAACTACCTGGGACATTCTTTTCTTTTCTTTTCTTTCTTTTTTTTTTTTTTTTTTTTGAGACAGAGTCTCGCTCAGTCGCCCAGGCTGGAGTGCAGTGGCGCGATCTCAGCTCACTGCAAGCTCCGCCTCCCGGGTTCACGCCATTCTCCTGCCTCAGCCTCCCGAGTAGCTGGGACTACAGGCACCTGCCACCTCGCCCAGCTAGTTTTTTTGTATTTTTTTTAGTAGAGACGGGGTTTTACCGTGTTAGTCAGGATGGTCTCCATCTCCTGACCTCGTGATCCGCCCGTCTGGGCCTCCCAAAGTGCTGGGATTACAGGCTTGAGCCACCGCGCCCGGCCGACATTATTTTCTTTATTCTTAGCATGGCAGGCTTCTATTCATCCTTCTGGCTTAAATATCCTTCTTTTTGAGAACCGACATGTCTTCCCTATTTAGTGAGTCACCCAACCCTGTTTTTTAATTTATCACTATGTTCCGATTGTTTTATTACTTCCACTGTTATAATTTGCAGTTGCATATTTCTCTGTTGACTCATTATCTGTCTTTCCCAATAGATTTACTTTATTTTATGTTTTATTTACTTATTTTTTTCGAGACAGATCTCACTCCTGTCACCCAGGCTGGAGTGAGGTGGCATGATCTTGGCTCACTACAACCTCTGCCTCCTGGGTTCAAGCGACTCTTGTGTCTCAGGCTCCCGAGTAGCTGGGATTATAGGTGCATACCACCACGCCCGGCTAATTTTGTTGTATTTTTAGTAGAGATGGGGTTTCACCATGTTGACCAGGCTGGTCTCGAACTCCTGACCTCAAATGATCCATCTCCCTCAGCCTCCCAAATTGTTGGGATTACAGGTGTGAGCCACCGCGCCAGGCCTGTCTTTCCCAATAGATTTTAAATAACATGATGGTAAACACCAGCTCTGCCTTTTTAAACAATGGATATTTTGTATCTAGTACTGTGCCCAGACACATGGTAGGTATACAATAAATATATTTGTTGAATAAATAAATGATTGGTATGCCATGCATTGCAGCCCCTGTTAATAGGTTGCCTTAAAGTTATGCTAGGACTCTAACTCTGCCTTCCTAGGCAAAGGCTACATCTGGCACGTGGACATTTTTCTCCCTTTGCACATTAGGCAGATGTTAGTGTGGGATCCTGCATGATAGAAACTCAGCCAGAACTTGTGAAATGCAGAGATCATTGGGTGTGAATCATCTGGGTTCCTTTCTTTTTGTCCAAATACTTGCGTGCTTTGGTTTATTTTGTAGGTGGGAATCTGACAGCTACATAGGCAATCTCTATAAATGTAACCTAAAAATATTATGCTCTCTGCTGTACAAAGTATTTTAAAATATATTCCTTTATTTTATCCACCCATTCATTTATCTATATATATCCATCCTTCCATCTATCCATTCATCCATCTATTCATTTATTTGTTCATTCTCTCAGCAATTTTTTTTTGTTTGAGACAGAGTTTTGCTTTGTTACCCAGGCTGCAGTGCAATGGTGTGATCTTGGCTCGCTGCAACCTCCACCTCCCGGGTTAAGGCGATTCTCCTGCCTCAGCCTCCAGAATAGCTGGGATTACAAGCATGTGCCACCACGCCCGGCTAATTTTTGTATTTTTAGTAGAGACGGGGTTTCACCACTTTGGCCAGGCTGGTCTCAAACTCCTGACCTCAGGTGATCCACCCTCCTCAGCCTCCCAAAGTTCTGGGATTACAGGCGTGAGCCACTGCACCCACCCTGTTTCAGCAAATATTTATTGAGCCTCTTTTATGTGCCAGGCACCATTCTAGACTCAAGCATACAATAGTCAATAAAGCAGATGTGGTCCTATCCCTAATGAAGATTACTGATGAGTGGCTGGCCATGAAAAGACAAACAAAAATGTTAAAAGTATGTAATTACAAATGGAGAACATTGCTGTAAAATTAGTGAAGAGGGTGCTGTCATATGTACTGACATGCTCACGCTTGCCATGAATATATCACACCTCTTTCTGGCTTAAATGCCTTTCAAAGACCCTTCTATTGTCCTTGACATAAAATTCATCTTTTTAATAGTCCTTTCATGGCTCCATCCTCCCTTTTCCCCTCTCTTTCCTAAATGACTTCTGTTGTTTCTGTTTTCACACATATTTTCACTTCTAGATCAGAGTTTTTCAACCCCAGGGCTAAGTAATTCTTTGTTGTAGGGGATGTCCTGAGCATTGTAGAATGTTTGCAGTCTCCTTTCCTCTACCCCCTAGATGCCAGTTGCACTTCCCCCTACCCTCAATTTGTGACAAGCAAAAATATCTGCAGAAATTTCCAAATGTTTCCTGGGAGGCAAATGCACCGTTGGTTGAAAACTACAGTTCTAGGTTAAGAGTATGGGGTTTGGCATTGGGAAGGTTATCCTGTCCTTGTTGAGCACTCTCTACTGTCAATCAAAGTGCACCCGTCCTCTAGCCAAGGAGTGGCTGCATGACTGACATTAGGCTCCTAAAGTACTTCCTCTCTGGAATTTATTCTTAGGTAAAACATTGGATTGAAAACAGTTGATCCATCCTCCTGCCACTTCCAGAGGAATCTAGCTACTTAAAGTTTCCTGAAACTGCACGTTTTGAGTTCTAGTTCACCTGTCTTGGTGCTTCTTAAAGCTGCCCTATATTAATGCAGTAAGCTTCCTTTCTCCCTTAGTTAGAGTCAGTTTCTATGATTTATGACCAAAGAATAACTAACTGGCACATCCTCCTACATACTTAACAATTTTTTAGGATACCAGTAGTTACATATTCCCTGTCTTTTTGTCTCTCTCTCTCCCCTGACCCCCTGCCCCTCCTTCTCTCCCTCTCCTGCTGCCTCCCCCTCCCTCTCTCTCTCTCACTCTGTCTTCTTCCTTCTCTCTCTATTGCTCTTTCTCTCACTTCCACTGCTGTGCCTGAAAAATCCTGCCATTCACCTGGCCCATCATCCTTCAAGACCCAGATTAATTGCTATTTCCTTCCATTAATAGTCCAGAAACTTTACGCTGGCTCTTCTATTTTCCCCGGGGGACTGTGTACATTCTTTGAGAGCAGCACCGTTTTAGTCTGTTCTCACACTGCTATGAAGACATAGCTGACACTGGGTAATTTATAAAGGAAAGAGGTTAAATTGACTTGCAGTTCTGCATGTCTGGGGAGGCTTCAGGAAACTTACAATCACGGCAGAAGGTGAAGGGAAAGCAAGCTTGGACCTTCTCACATGGTGGCAAGAGAGAGAAAAGTGAGGAGTAAAGGGGGAAGAGCCCATGGTAAAACCATCAGCTCTTGTTAGAACTCACTCACTATCACAAAAACAGCATGGGGGAAACCCACACCATGATCCAATCACCTCTCACGAGGTCTCTCCTTCAACACCTGGGGATTACAATTCAAGATGAGATTTGGGTGGGGACACAGCCAAGCCATATCAAGCATCTATCACACCACGCTGCTATATTTGCTTGCTCATCTGTGTCCCTGCCATGCAGCACTCCTTCGGGGTGAGGATCAAGCCTCTGAGGGCTGCATGTGTGACAACGGGACCGGGCACACAGTTCCTGCTCAGCCATTGTTCTTTGCTGGGGTAAGTAGACGGATAGATGCACTGCCCCTGCGCAAGGACAAAAGGTCGGAGATTCATTCTCCTCTATGACTGACAGAAATTGTGCTGAACTGTCTCAGAATAAACCTTTCGTGGGTTTGCACTCCTATGTTCAAAGTGCCCTGGGCCAAAATCAAAGAGTTTATTCTTCCTGATGTGCAGAGGACAAACAGTACGAAGTCACTGTGACCTTTGAGATTCTGCTTTCTTCATAAATAACATGTTTTTTTTTGTTGTTGTTGTTATAAAACAGTACAAATGTATTATAGAGAATTTATATGATACAAAAAGGCATTAGGAAGAAAATAAGAATCACCCATAACCCCAGAACCCAGAGACAAATGCTGCCTTTTTGAAGTACTTTCTTCCGATATTTTCTCTCTATGTACTCACAATTTGTAGAGGTATTTATTTACATAAATAAATTTTTTGTTACATGCTTTCTCTCATTTAATCATAAATAACACTCATTTTCCTTTATGTATTCTTACAGAGCACTGCTTTTAGAATCTGCATACTACTCCACCTTATAGGTAAGCTACTGTCGATTTAATCAATCTCTTTCTTTGCCAAAACTATGTCATTTTCGTATTTTTGGTGGGTGGTGATAAAGTAACACTTTTCTTGTTCCTGCCCAACTTCAGAGCACAATGAGGTTTAAACACAGGAAATTCAGATAGGTGGGGATCAAACTGTCATCTCAGTTACTGATTGGT